AGAAAACCCGCACGGCACGTCTAAGACCTGAGGCAGCCAAAAATAAATAAATAAATAAATCTTAAAAAAAATAAAAGACACCCGTACCCATTAGCAGTCGTTCCCCACCCTCACCTCCCATGCCACTCCCAGCCCAAGGCAAACACTAATCTACTCTCTGACTCTCTAGATTTGCCTGTTGCATATCAATGGAATCATACAATATGTGGCCTTTGGTAATGGGCTCCTTTTACTTAGCATAATGTTTCAAGGTTCATCCATGTTGTAGCGTGATTCAGTGCTTCATTCCCTCTTGTTGTCAAATGATATTGTTAAATCATATGGATTTACCACATTTTGTTCATCAGTTGGTGGACATTTAGGTTTGTTTCCACTTTTTTGACTCTTAGGAGTAATGCTGCTTATGAATATTCATGTACAGGATTTTATGTGGACATATTTTTTTTCATTTCTCTTGGGTGTATACCTAGGAACAGAATTGCTGGATCATATGGTAACTCTATGGTTAACATTTTGAGGAACTTCTAGACAGTTTTCCACAGCAGCTGCACCATTTTACATTCCCAGAAGCAATATACAAGGGTTCCAATTTCTCACCATCCTCGAAACACTTGTAATTATCTGTCTTATTTGTTATAGCCATTCTAGTGGATGTGAAGTGGTATCTTAATGTGGCATTTACCTAATGACTAATGATGTTGAACATCTTTTCATGTGCTTACTAGCCATTTATATCTCTTTGGAGAGATTCAGATTTCTGATTTGCAAATATTTTCTCCCATACTGTGGGTTTTCTTTTCACTTTCTTAACGGTATCCTTTGAGACACAAAAGTGTCTAATTTTTTTTTTTTTTTTTGTGGTACGCGGGTCTCTCACTGTTGTGGCCTCTCCCGCTGCGGAGCACAGGCTCCAGACGCGCAGGCTCAGCGGCCATGGCTCGTGGGCCCAGCCGCTCCGTGACATGTGGGATCTTCCCGGACCAGGGCACGAACCTGTGTCCCCTGCATTGGCAGGCGGACGCTCAACCACTGCACCACCTGGGAAGCCCCAAGGCATTCACTTTTTAATTTATGTCTGTTGAGTCTCTTTTAATCTATAATGCTCCAGGCTTTTTTTTTTTTTGGCTGCGTTATGTCTTTGTTGCTGCGCAGGGGCTTTCTCTATTTGTGGTGAGCAGGGGCTACTCTTTGTTGCAGTGCATGGGCTTCTCCTTGCAGTGGCTTCTCTTGTTGCAGAGCATGGGCTCTAGGTGCACGGGCTTCAGTAGTTGTGGCACTTGGGCTCAATAGTTGTGGCTCACGGGCTCTAGAGTGCAGGCTCAGTAGTTGCGCTGCACTGGCTTAATTGCTCCACAGCATATGGGATCTTCCCAGACCAAGAATCAAACCCGTGTCCCCTGCATTGGCAGGTGGATTCTTAACCACTGCGCCACCAGGGAAGTCCCAGGCTTTTTTTTCCTCTTGCATTTTATTTGTTGAAGAAACAGGGTCATTTGTTCTATAGAGTTTCCATCAGTCTGAGTTTGTTAATTGCATCTCCATGGTGTAATTTAACGTGTTCTTCTGTCCCTTGTATTTTAGTAATCCAGAGGCATGATCTGCTTTAGATTTGGTTTTAGCACAGCAATAATTTGCAGGTGATATGTGTGTTTCCAGAGTCAGAACATGTAAGGTTGACTCTGTCTGCAATGTTAGGGGCCATCTATAATCTTCAACTGGATTTTTTTTTTTTTTTTTTTTTTTTGGCTGCCACGTGGTATGCAGGATCTTAGTTCCCCGACCAGGGATCAAACTCTTGCACTCTGTATTGGGAGCGCAGAGTCTCAACCACTGGACCACCAGGGAAGTCCCTGGATCTTTTTTTTTTTGGCTGTGTTGGGTCTTCATTGCTGCATGCGGGCTTCCTCTAGTTGTGACGAGCAGAGGCTACTCTTCATGGCAGTGTGTGGGGTTCTCATTGCAGTGGCTTCTCTTGTTGAGGAGCACGGGCTCTAGGCGCATGAGCTTCAGTAGTTGTGGCACAGGGACTCAGTAGTTGTGGCGCACGGGCTTAGCTGTTCTGCGGCACATGGGATCTTCCCGGACCAGGGCTCAAACCCGTGTCCCCTGCATTGGCAGGTGGATTCTTAACCAGTGTGCCAACAGGGAAGTCCCTGGATCATTTTTTAATTAGAGGTGATTTACATTTTTAAAGGGTCACTCTGGTTGCTGGGGGGAAGGGGTCCCAGCGTTTCAAGGACTGAAGGATAGCCATGCAACAAAGCATTTGCTGCCATGCCTGGCACACAGGGACTACTCAATAAATATTAGCACTTATTGTTGTTGTTGTTATTAGAGCTGTGTGTGGGGGACCCAAGTCCTGAGCTCGGAGCCATTTTCTGTCCAGGGCATTCTCCTCTCTTCTCCTCTGCCCTTGGAGGAGTCATCGTCAGTGCCCCATGGCTCTGGGAGGCATGTTCAGGAATGCGGCGGCCATCTATTTGCACCTGGTGGGGCCCTTCCGGGGAAAGAAGTCTGGAGCTTCCCTCGCCCGGTGTTTGCATCAGACTGTAAGTGCTCTAGCCCCTCGTGCTCTGCTGCTTGCATGCCCCAGGCCTCCTGGGATCTGGCTTGGTTCTGGCTTCAAAGCTGTGCATGAGCCTCCTCTTTCAGGAGGCCTTCTCTGACTGCAGCCTGGGTGTGGGCCTCTCCCTTGCCCTTGCTTCTAATCTAGAACTTGTAGCTATGCACCTGAATGGTCTCCTTGGAGCTGCTGCCTCCCTACCACCCCTTGTGCCCAGCCCAGTGTTTGGTACACAGTAGGTGCTTCATAAATGTTGGCTGAATAAATACATTATGCATAAGCTCAAGAATAGGCACTGGTTCCTCACTTATCCAAGTAGTGTGTGACATACTCAAAGGTCACTCCATTGAGCACCCCAAGTTTCTAGAGTCCCCCTTTTTTATCTTCTTCCTAAACTCATTCAACTCCATCTACCCCCTTTGCTCTCTCTCTGTGCCCCTTCGCCCACCCCAGCCCTCCACAAACTCCCTCACTCCAACCTCTACCCACCCACCCCCACTGCCCCGACTCATCTTCACTTTATTTTTTTAAGTATGATGCGTACCTGATTCAAACGTAATTCCTTATATCATTGAACCTATAATGCCATCAATATTAGGATGCACTGGTATTTTATGGACTAGTAAGTGGGGAAATTGCCAATTAAACTCATGCTATAGATTCTAAGACACATCTGAAAGTGCAATGTGCAAAAAATACACATATCAGAATCAGTCAAATATGGTATGCTCTTCATACAAGAAACTTAGAAACATAGAAAAGTACACTTATAATTAAATCACCTATAATTCCACCACTCAGAGAGAACCTTTCTTAACATTTGGTATGTTTCCTTCTAAATTTTTTTTCTATTCACATATGGTCATAAAAATATATATATACATACAAATATATATTAGGGTATATTTTAAAAAATATAATCATCCCGTACATGCTATTTTGTAGCCTGTTTTATTGATATTGGTATATCACATTTACAAACATTCCTCTAAAATGTAATTTTCTCCCACATTTTTTAATCATAAAAATAAAACCTTTATTTTAGAAAATTTGGAAAATAAGAAAATTGTAAGGAAGAGAAGAAAAATATCTGTTAACTAACCAACCAAAGATAATCACTGCTGACTAACATTTGGGTGCTAACATGATTTTGCCTGGCAGGGATCACGCTCTCATTTTAAACTATTTTGACATGTTCTGAGTGCCAGGCCTGGTGAGAGGTGTCAGGGACAGGGCTGCCAATGTTAGCAAAGCACCTGCCCATGCTGGGCTCTCTGCAAATCATTCCCATCAGCAAGACTCCCAGGTGATGGAAAAGCCTGGCCCATATACAGATGGTCCCCATGCCCTTCTCCAGGGCAGGGACCAGACACTAGGAGCCCTGCTGTTGCCCCCACCCTGACCAGGGTCCTGTCCAGCTCCTCCTCCAACCTTGGGGAAGTCCCTGAACCTCTGTGAGCTTCAGTGTCCTCATCTTTACATGGGGATTATCCTGGTCCCTCTGATAGGCGTGCTGTGGGGACTAAGCCCATAAGGAACAGTGGGGGCTCACTGTTAGATACAGCTGTGGCCCCACCACCTGCCGGTCATCTGAGACTCCAAGCCACAGGACCAGGAGGCTAGGAGGGACCACGGAGCCTATGCCCCTATTATACTGATGGAGAGACTGAGGCCAGGGGAGCTAAAGCACCTGTGCAATGTCACCCAGCCAAGGCGGGCTTAGGACCTGAGTTTGGTGGTTCTCAGGCCTGGCCAGTGTCTGCACACCTGCGGGTGAGGGGGAAGCTGGCCTGGAAGGAACACAGGGAAGGGGAGGGGAGGTCCCCTGAGCGCCCTAGGACCAAGCAAGTGTCCTCTTTGCCTGAGTCAGAACGTGGCCTCGTCTCAAACAGCCCTGAATCTGAGTGTATCTGTTGTATGACCTTGAACACATCCCTCTCCCCGCTCCCCCTCCTCCATCTTCTCATCTGTAAAACGGGACCAGCCAGGTTGTCCTGAGAAGTCAAAGGAAGAGCTTAGCGAGAAGCTGCTGCAGTCACTGTCGCCACCATCCTTCCCGTGCTCTGCTCTCCCCCTTCCTCCTGCCCCTCCTCCTCGGCCCCAGGCGCTCCTGGGTCAAACTTTAACCTGATGGAATCCAGGCTGTGTGCCAGGACACAAGGACCCTGGGCTGGCAGGTGGGCGCGTCCAGGCTGCTGGAGTGGGAGGAGCTGAGCGGGGTGGCGGGAGGCCCCGCCCCCCCCCCCCCGTGTGTGTGTGTGTGGGGGGGGGGGGCCGCCCCCCCCCCCCCCCCCCCCCCGTCTTGTCTGGGAGCCCTGCTCTCTGCCTCCCGCCTGGAGGAGTGGACACCAAGGCTGTGGCCCCAGAGAAGCTGCCTCCCGGGCAGGCCCAGGCTGCTGGGCCTCCACCACTGACCCTCCGTTTGTTCTGTCTTCAGCTCGTCATGACCAAACAGCTGCAGGCTCGAAGGCTGGATGGGATCGACCACAACCCATGGTGAGCTGGGTGGGGCTGGGGAGGGGTGTGGGGGTCCCCTGGGCTCAAGGGCAGGGCAGGGCTGGCGGTCCCTGGATTGGCAGTAACTCAGTGGTACCCAGGACGGCCGCGCACTCGGACGGGGGGAGATTTGTAGTCACAGCTCCTGAGAGGTGAGACCCCCAGCAGCCAGCTTAGATTTGGATCTCAGCCTTGCCCTGCTTGGCTGTGGCATTTGGGGCCGGTGACTCGCCTGCTCTGAGCCTCAGTTTCCCATCTGGGAAATGGAGGTAATTCCGTTTCCCTTGAAGGGCCTGGGAGGATGAGGTGACATATTATGTGAGCGATGGCCATTACCCAGGCATTACCCAGGCACCAGGCTGAGGGCTTTCCAGGGATTCTTTCATTTCACACTTAGTACAGAACACGCTAAGCTAAGGAATATAAGAAGGTAAGACACGGGCAGCTCCTCACCAACACTTGCAGAGGTTGACATCTTTTCTTTATTGACCTATTCCAAATATAAGAGGCATATGTGCCCCTTGTCACCCTTGATTCGATGGATGCAATGGAAGATGTGTGAGAAAGATTTAATGACCTTCCCGCTTCCCCCCAACCCCCGCTTCTGGCCCGCTCTACCTTTGGCCAAGGGCATTGAGCCACCTCTATACGTTAAAAAAAAAAAAATCATTGGCTGTTGTTTTTACCAAAAAGAGAACCATTTTTTCTTTCAAACTCCCCTGCTGTACAACACTTTGTGTTTTGCAAAAATCTTCCACCTCCATCTTCTCCTCTGATGCTCCATGGTGTTTGGGATGGGGGAGCCAGGCCCAAAGGCCCTATAGGGTCCGGTTGCCCTCTAGGTTGGGCCTCCAGGGTCCTGTTCCCCAGGCTGCCACGCTCTGTCCTCTCTGTGAGGCAGGTGGGCAGGCTTGTGGCCCATTTTTCAGATAAGGTAAAGTCCAACTCCGAAGGAGGAAATGACTGGCTGGGAGAGACAGGAAGAATCTTTCCTGACTCACAGACCCAGCAGACTCTTGAACCCGTCACACCCATTGTACAGAAGGAAGGACTGAGGCCAGGAGAGGCTAAGTCTCATGCGAAGGCAGGGCAGAGCAGGAGCTGGCCTGGGAGGAATGCACGGGACAGCAGAGGAGTGCCAGGAAGGATGAGGGCCATGAAAGGTCCCAGGTTCCTGCTGCCCCCAGGGTGGTGGCCTGAGGATCAGGACCCTAGAGGCCCAACCCACAGGGCAGCTGGTCTCCGTAGGGTATTTGAGCCTGGCTCCCCTGTCCCAGCAACCATGGAACATCCACCACCTGATTTTGCATCTCAGCTCTGCCTTAGCGGCTGTGTGACTCTGGGCAGGCCACTGGCCTCTCTGAGCTTCAGCAACTCTGTGTCTTCAGAGACACTGTGGCGCTCTGGAGAGAAAATGACCAATTTTAGACATAATGATATTTATTGTTATGCAAATTCAACTCCACCCAGCCTGACCCCTCTGCCCCCAACCAACCTGGAACCACATACCAGCCTCTTCAGCCTCTCAGCCTGTCTTCCAGTTTCCCTGAACAGGTAGCCACTAGGCAGGGCCAGAAGAAAGGTGGTCAGGGGTCAGAGACGGCAGATGATGGCAGGCCCCAGTCTGTCCAGGGTAATCGTCAAGAGCAGAACTGGTGCTTCAGACACCAAAGGCTAGCAGTGCTAACTGGGAGACGTGGGGCAAGGCGCCCAAACCCCAGCTTCTCCGTCCCCGCTGTGATCAAGGAGCAGAACATGCCTCATAGACTATCAGAGATGATGTGAGCAAGCATTTCAAAGTGTGGTGCTGAGAGACACAAGAACGGGTCATGAAATCCATTTCGGGGCACTCAACAAGTATTTCTAAAGACTAGAGTAGAATAGGATGGGAAATACTGCAGTGGATCACACCGGAAGGAGAAAGTTGAGTCCATGTTTGTGCTCTACAGAGCTTGGGATGTAAAAGTGATTTCTTACTATGGATCGTGGTGGAAAGTTGGAAAGCCCCTGGGCTAAGACATGTGATCAGCATGGAACCAGTTATGACCACGAACAGATCTCCGGACCAGGGTGGATGCTGATTATACAGTTTTTCTAGAAGGAACCCAACGCCTTGCTCACCCTGCCCTGGAAGCAAGCGGAAGTCCAGGTCGGAGTGGAGAGTTGGGCTGGTACCCACTCTCTGTCTGTTGCCCAGGGTGGAGTTTGTCAAACTGGCTAGTGAGGCTGATGTCGTGAACTTGGGCCAAGGCTTCCCAGACTTCCCACCCCCAGACTTCGCCGTGGAAGCCTTTCAGCACGCCATCAGTGGGGACTTCATGCTCAACCAGTACACGAAGGCATTTGTGAGTCTACCAGCCCCTCTGGGGGGTCCCTGGACATGGGCCTCTGAGGAGGTCCCGGGGGAGGACGGAGCAGATCTTTTTGGGCAGCAGGCCCATCTGAGTGTCAGGGTTCATGGGGCAGAGCCCCGGGAATTCAGTCTGGCCATGGTTCAGTGTTCACTGACTGTCTCCTTTGTTCCAGGCCCTGGGACAGTTCATGGTCTGGGGGAAAGACAGATAAAAAAGCATGAGCCAGGAGCTCATGGTCTAGTGGGAAAAGCAGACCAAAAACCAAAAGAATAGCAGAAGACAAAGGTAGCTGATATGCTGTGATGGAGGAGAATGGGGTACTTGGGAGCAAGAAGGAGGGAATGAGACCTGGGAGATCAGGGAGGGCTTTCTGAAGGAGGTGACACCTAAGCTTAACCCTGAAAGACAAGCTGCTGATTGGGTTTTTTTTTTTTCTTTATATATATATATATATATATATATATATATATATATATATATATATTTTGCGGTACGCGGGCCTCCCACCACCGCGGCCTCCCCCGCCGCGGAGCACAGGCTCCGGACACACAGGCCCAGCGGCCATGGCTCACGGGCCCATCCGCTCCGCGGCATGTGGGATCCTCCCGGACTGGGGCACAAACCCGCGTCCCCTGCACCGGCAGGCAGACCCCCAACCACTGCGCCACCAGGAAAGCCCTGCTGATTGTTTTGACTCTAAATCCGAAGTCTTTCTGTAAAGAACCACAGAGTAAATATTTGCCCCCTTGGAGTAGTTTCTTAAACTTTGGTGTGCATCTCATCGCCCTGGGGGAAAATTCCCTCCAGTGCCACCACCCAGAGATAACCACTGCTAACAGTTTGCTACTTTGCTGAGTGTTTAGACTCTTGAACTCTTAACTTTTAGAAATTTATTTATTTTATTTTTGGCTGCGTTGGGTCTTCATTGCTGCACCTGGGCCCTCTCTAGTTGCTGCAAGCAGGGGCCACTCCTTGTTGCCATGCGTGGGCTTCTCACTGTGGCGGCCTCTCTTGTTGCGGAGCACGGGCTCTAGGCACGTGGGCTTCAGTAGTAGTGGCACGCAAGCTCAGTAGTTGTGGATCACGGGCTCTAGAGCACAGGCTCAGTAGTTGTGGTGCACGAGCCCAGGTGCTCCACGGCATGTGGGATCCTCCCGGACCAGGGCCCAAACCCGTGTCCCCTGCATTGGCAGGTGGACTCTCAACCACTGCACCACCAGGGAAGTCCCCTGAACTTTTAACTTTAAAATGCTTGTATAAACACACACACATTCACATGCCCACACGTGAGATTTGTGTTTCTTAACACAAATGGACTCATACTCTAAGTAATGTTCTATAACTTATTTCACTAAATAGTATGACATAGGCATCTTTCCATGTCAAAACAGCCTCATTCTTTTTTTCTAATTTATTTTTTATTGAAGTATAGTTGAATTACAATGTTGTGTTAATTTCTGCTGTCCAACAAAGTGACTCAAACATACATTCTTTTTCATATTCTTTTCCATTATGGTTTATCATAGGATATTGAATATAGTTCCCTGTGCTATATAGTAGGACCTTGTCGTCTATCCATTCTATATAAACCAGTTTGCATCTGCTAATCCCAAACTCCCCATCCAACCTTCTCCCATCCCCCTCCCCCTTGGCAACCACCAGTCTGTTCTCTATGTCCCTGATTCTGTTTCTGTTTCATAGATAGGTTCATTTGTGTCATATTTTATATTCCACATATAAGTGATATCATATGGTATTTGTCTTTCTCTTTGTGACTTACTTCACTTAGTATGATAACCTCTAGTTGCATCCATGTTGCTGCAAATGGCATTATTTCATTCTTTTTCATAGCTGAGTTGTATTCCATTGTGTATATGTACCCCATTAGCCTCATTCTTTTTGATGGCTGCATAGTATCCGATTGCCTAGATGTGCCATAATCTATTTACCCAGCCCTACACTGATGATCTGGTTTGGTTATCTCACTATTAAGCAATACCACAGTGAATATCTCTTTGTGTATCCCTTTGTACACATATGTGAATATTTCTCTCAGATATATCCCAAGAAGTAAAACTAGAGAATCAAAGGGTGTAAGCATTTCAGCCCATGCCGGATATTGTCACATTGCCCTCTAGTAAGGTTTACTCACATACCCACCAACAGGCTGGTCTCAGAGCTGGCAGGAATGTTCATTCTTTTCATGTACATATTGGGCCTCAGGACTTTTTCTTTCAGGCCTGACCTCGTGTTTTTCATTTGGGTGTATATCTTTGTCTTATTGCTTTGAAAGAGCTCTTTATATATTAAATATCTTATTTCTTTCTCTTATGTTGCAGTGTTCCTCTCTTTGTCTTTTAACTTTGCTCATGGGATATTTTGGTGTACAGAAATTTTTCATTTTTATGTAGTCAATTCTGGTTTAGTGAATTATTTAGTTAAGTTCTAGACCTTAGGTTTCAGTCCCTTGGCTTAGCCTGGAGTGTTTTTGTTTGTTTGTTTGTTTGTTTGGGGTTTTTTTTGCGGTATGTGGGCCTCTCACTGTTGTGGCCTCTCCCGTTGCGGAGCACAGGCTCCGGACACACAGGCTCAACAGCCATGGCTCACGGGCCCAGCCGCTCCGTGGCATGTGGGATCTTCCTGGACCGGGGCACGAACCCGTGTCCCCTGCATCGGCAGGCGGACCCTCAACCACTGCGCCACCAGGGAAGCCCAGCCTGGAGTGTTTTATAAGTGTCCTCAACAAACAAGCATACAGATCCAATCTTCCTCTCAAAGTGGGGTGCTTCCAAAGCTGCAACATAAAGTCCTATTCCCGCACTTCAACTGGCATAACCTTGGGCAAGTAATTTTCTTTCTCTGGCCCACTGTTTTTCTACCAGTCAAATGGTGGGGATCAAATAATACCTCTTTTGCAAGGCTGCCAAGAGGATTAGATGGCACAAAAGTGCTTCTTAAACTTAGAGGGAGGTGTTTAAAGTGTGGAGTTGCTGCTATTTTGAGGGCTCCGTTGCACTGTGCTCCACAAAGGCATACACTCTGTCTGATTTCCCACTGATCCCAGCCCTGGATGCTGGACCTGGCACAGAGCAGGCTTTATGGTATGTGCTGGCGATGGAGATGAAAGAACTCACCCCACAGGAACTGACTCTGCCCCAAGGCTTGCTGCTGGAAGATGCTAGAATTGCCTGGATGCATCTGAGTGGGAGGGTGGGCCCAGGCTGAACCAGGCCGCTGACCCCTGATGTCCCAGCAGGGTTATCCACCCCTGACGAAGATCCTGGCCAGTTTCTTTGGGAAGTTGCTGGGACAGGACATAGACCCGCTCAAGAACGTGCTGGTGACTGTGGGTGCCTATGGGGCCCTGTTCACAGCCTTCCAGGCCCTGGTGGACGAAGGAGACGAGGTGAGTGGGCAAGGCCAGGGCTGGGTGGGGGTGAAGGGTCAGGGTGGTGCCGACCCCAGCCAATCTGATCCTTGTACCAGGTCATCATCATTGAGCCCTTTTTTGACTGTTATGAGCCCATGACATTGATGGCAGGGGGTCGCCCTGTGTTTGTGTCCCTGAAGCCGGTAAGGATGCTGGTTGGGGTGTGGGTGGGCAGAGGGGTCCAAGGAGTGTGCTGGGTTGAACCCTGGGAGGTGGGAAAGAAGGAAGGAAGTGAAGGAGGGCAGTTTCTCCAGGATGAGGAGAGGGGTGTCCAGAGCCCGAGACGAGAGACAGTGGGGAGAGATACCTGGGGGGAGGAAGGCTGACTTTCTAGAGATGAAAGTCATGTGGGTAAGTATTGCCACCCCCTCCCACCTCCTCTTGCAGAGCCCCAACCAGGATGGGGAACTGGATTCCAGCAGCAACTGGCAGCTGGACCCCACGGAGCTGGCCAGCAAGTTCACATCTCGCACTAAAGCCCTTATCCTCAACACACCCAACAACCCCCTGGGAAAGGTACCTGAGAGACCTCCTCCGGGGACCCCTCCAGATTGGCTCACGTCCCTGCTCTGTTACTCTTGTGCTGCCATAGGGCCTCAGTTTCTTTGTCTGTGAAGTGGGAGGACTACCTGTGATGAGCTCTGAGGACCGAAGCTCCCAGAGGTCCCAGGGCCTGGGGCAGGGATCCCCAGGGAAGGTATCAGGCCTCAGGTGGTGGAGCATGCTGGACACCTCCATGACTTCCCCATGAACCTGGGCCAGTGACTTCCCCTCTCCAGTTTCTCATCTGGAAAATGGGAACATGACAGAACTGATGTGAAGGAAGACCCAGGCTTCCACCTGTGTCTCTCCTTTACTGTCACACCATTATCACACTCAAAATGCTTCTGACACCAGATATGTGGGGGTTTTCCCCCACACTAAGCAATTCTGTGAGACCAGCTGGGTGTCCCACAAGTCAACTCAATTTAATTCAATTCTGACAGTGTCTACCTGGAGATGGCATCAGATCCCACAGGTTAAGGGCATGTGCGCTTCAGTGGTTGTGGCATGCGGGCTCAGTAATTGTGGCTCACGGGCTCTAGAGCTCAGGTTCAGTAGTTGTGGCGCACGGGCTTAGTTGCTCCGTGGCATGTGGGATCTTCCCGGACCAGGGCTCGAACCCGTGTCCCCCACACTGGCAGGCGGATTCTTTTTTTTTTTTTTTTTTTGGTTATAAATTTATTTATTTATTTATTTATGGCTGTGTTGGGTCTTCGTTGCTGTGCACGGGCTTTCTCTAGTTGCGGCGAGCAGTGGCTACTCTTTGTTGCCGTGTGCGGGCTTCTCATTACGGTGGCTTCTCTTGTTGTGGTTGTGGAGCCCAGGTTCTAGGCTCATGGGCTTCAGTAGTTGTGGCACGAGGGCTCAGTAGTTGTGGCTCACGGGCCCTAGAGCACAGGCTCAGTAGTTGTGGTGCACAGGCTTAGTTGCTCTGTGGCCTGTGGGATCTGCCTGGACCAGGGATTGAAGGCAGGCAGATTCTTAAGCACTGCGCCACCAGGGAAGTCCACTTCTAGTGCTCTTATCACTTAGGAATTTACAAGGGTTTCCAGAGCCCTGTGTCTAGGTCAGGATCAAAGAGCAAATATTAGAACAAAAGATGTTCCTAGTGCTCTTAGCACTTAGTAATTTACAAGGGTTTTAGGAGTTCTGTGCCAGGAATCGGGGCAGAGATAGATATATATGTGTGTGTGTGTGTGTGTGTGTATGTATACACACACACACACACACACACACACACACACACACATATGTATTTTCTGTTATCTCACAACCAACTTCACAGGGTCACTGTTGCAGGGATAGGATGGGACAGAAAAGCCCTCAGCACCGGCTCTGGCCCTGTCTTTTCATCTTTCTAAGCAGGCCTCTCTGTTTGGGGATGGTCCCTGCAGGTGTTCTCCAGGGCAGAACTGGAGCTGGTGGCCAGCCTGTGCCAGCAGCATGACGTGGTGTGTATCACCGACGAGGTCTACCAGTGGCTGGTCTACGACGGGTGCCAGCACATCAGCATCGGTGAGCCGAGCAGACCACGGTGCCCCCGTTCCCCCGGACATTTGTGGCAGGGCCTTGAGCCCAGTCTGGGTGTCAGCGCAGGCCTGTTGATTAGGACTGAGGGGTCTAGACCCACACAGGTCAGGCGAGCGGGGGCAGTGACTTCACCTCTCTGAGGACAGGGGCACACGTGGCACCTGCCTCCCAGCGTTGTCACGAGGGTGAGCTCAAATAAGTCCTGGAAGTAGCTTGGCACAGAGTGGAGTCTGGAGCGTTGAGAGCCTGAGTGCCCGCTGGGGTCCAGCCCCCACCCCTCCCCTGCCCCCACCCCCATCTCAGCAGCTGCGTTATTTGGCTTTGGGCAGCCACCCTCCCTGGCATGTGGGAACGCACCCTGACCATTGGCAGCGCTGGCAAGACATTTAGCGCCACAGGCTGGAAGGTGAGTCAATGAGGGTGGGGGTGACCCCTCCCTCTACAGTCCTTGGTAGGCGAGTCTGGCCTGGAAATCCAGAAAGGGTTTGGTCAGGCCCCGAAGAGCCTCACCCCCTACCTATGCTCCTGGTCCAGGTGGGCTGGGTCCTAGGCCCGGACAGTCTCCTGAGGCACCTGCGCACCGTGCACCAGAACTCCATCTTCCACTGCCCCACCCAGGGCCAGGTGAGGGGGGCAGGACCCACCCCATCGGGGGAGGGGGGGGGCCGGCTCCGAGGTCAGGTCACACCTGAGCTGCTTGTCCCTCCGCCCTCCCCAGGCTGCAGTAGCCCAGAGCTTTGAGCGGGAGCAGCTGCACTTCGGCCAACCCAGCAGCTACTTTGTGCAGCTCCCACAGGCCGTACAGCGCTGCCGTGACCACATGATGCAGAGCCTGAAGTCTGTAGGCCTGAAGCCCGTGGTCCCCCAGGGCAGCTATTTCCTCATCACAGACATCTCGGAATTCAGTGAGTGGGACTGGCCGGGCTGGGCCAGGTACAGGGCCCTGGAGGCTGCCCAGGGCTCAGCCTGGCCTCTGTCCCCCAGAGAGCAAGATGCCCAACTTGCCTGGAGCTGCAGATGAGCCTTACGACAGACGCTTCGTCAAGTGGATGGTCAAGAGCAAGGTGGGCTGGGCCTCTGCCAGGGCCCCTGTGTATGTTTTACAGGCTATGCACTGCGAAGGGTGCCTGACCAGGGGGCTGATGTGCCAAAATCCAGCCAATCCTCTGCCTTGAGCCATGGCACAGAGTTGCATCCACTTCAAGGAATGGGAAGCCTGTTTTCAATTTGCTCAAATATGCCTTGTGGGCTGGCAGGAGTTCCTGCCCTCTCAGGGCTTCAGTCTTCCCATCTGTACAGTGAGGAGTTGGCCCATTAACTCTGAGGTCCATCCATCTCAGAGCTACGACTCTAAGACTTATTTCTTTTTTTGCTTGTTTGTGGTGTTTTTTTTGTTTTTTGCTTTGGCCGTGCCACATGGTTTACAGGATCTTAGTTCCCGGACCAGGGATTGAACCCGCGCCCTCAGCAGTGAAAGCGCAGAGTCCTAACCACTGGACAGTCAGGGAATTCCCTAAGACTTATTTATTCTATGGCTCTGCCCTGACCTGCCGCATGATCTTCCCTGCTCTCAGCCTCCCTCTCCCTTCTGTACATAAGGAGGGACTTGGAATGATGATTTGGGATGCTTTTCCTCTGACCTTGATGCAGCACTGGGAGGTGTTGCATTGAACTAATTTTCCTTCTCCTGTCTCATCACGGAACATCTCTGACCGCCTGGAGCCCCCCAGAGGCCTGCTGGGCTGTGGGGCCGCTGAGGCTTGGGCTTCCTCCTCCACAGGGCTTGATGGCCATCCCGGTGTCCATCTTCTGCAGCGTGCCACATCAGAAGCTCTTTGACCACTATATCCGCTTCTGTTTCATGAAGGTAAAGGACAGGCCTGGGGGAGGGAAGATCTCCCCAAGCCTCCCCATGCCTCCTGCGGGTGTGGGGAGAGGGGTAGGACCAATCTGTGTTGGTGCAGGATGAATCCACGCTCCAGGCCATGGACAAGAAGCTACAGAAGTGGAAGGATGAGCTCAGGCCCTGACATCACCCCCTGGGCCCTGCATTGCCTGCTCCCTGCACACTCTGCAGGGCTCTGTCTTTGTCCAGGTTTCAGCCATTCCCAGGTTGGGGGTAGATGGCACTAGAGGATCTCTTCTCTGTAACACAGAATAACCTCAGGGAAGAGGCCCCCTTTTGGTCTTGGGGCAGTCAGGAGCACTTCCCCATGGTGCATAGCTATGTTCCTGTTGCAGAGGTGAAGGAGACCTGACCGGGGCCTCTCCCTGGTCCTCCCTGTGCCGGGCTATATGGTCTTGGGTCCCCTCTGGCCTCCCCAGACTCAGCTGGAACTCAGAGGGCAGAGTTCAATAGTGTACTGACCTTGGGTCTCAGCCCTGGCCCCAGCCTTGCACTGGCCCCAGCCTTGCATTGGCCCCAGCCAGGCCTCAGGCATCCCTCCCTTTCCTTATCTAAGCTTGATTTTGGAAAGTTGCCCTTAGGCTTGACTCTTCAAGCCAGTACTTTTGCCCATAATAAAGTTTTAAGTTATTCAAACTGTTATTGGCTGCTTCTCTCTGCTTCACACCCTGGTGCTGATTGCAGATGGGGGCTTAGTCAGAATGGAAGGCAACTCCCACCTCCCTGAACCTCAGATCCCAGACTCTCTTTGTACACATGTGTTTTGAGGCCCAAAGAAGGGCAGGGACTTGGACCTTGTCTGAGGCCACCCAGTTAGTTGATGGTAAAACCAGGCCTAGGGGCTCAGATGGTATGTGTTACCGTTGTTGGTGTTGTTGTTGTTGTTGTTGTTGTTGTTGGTGGTGGTGGTGGTGGTGGTGGTGGTGGTGGTGGTGTGTGTGTGTGTGTGTTTGTGTGTGTGTGTGTGTGATGGGGGCCTCAGTTGAGTGTCTAACAGGGAAGACTCGGACAGTCACACCCCACAGGGATCAGAGTCCAGGCCAGGATTGCCAGGGATTACATAGTTGGACAGAAGGGGAGAGGAATGTTTCCCCTAACATTTACTGCTCACCCCTGCATGCCAGGCACTTGGATGTGCACCATCTCGTTAAAGGACCCTCTGAGACAGGAGTTACTGCCTCCATTTTACAGGTGAGGAAACCGCTTTGGAGGTGAGGGGACTTACCTGAGGCCATCCAGCTGGTACAAGGTAGAAATGAGATTTGATCCCAGGGGTGGGCCTCCCTCTGGAAAGCACTGCAACTCCTGAAATCGTTTGGAAGGTGGTGCTGGGGAATTGTCTTGAAGTTGCATTTGCATAGCAAGCTCATGGGTTTTGCTCATATCACATATTTAATTGGGGAGCTGATGGGAACATATAGGATAATAAAATACATTTGGTCTTTGTCCCTGGTTCCTGGCACAGAACTCCTAAAACCCTTGTAATTTCATGAGTGTCAGTAGTGTCTTTTGTTATTCAAAATGAACCCCTTCAACCACGTGATTAGAGGGTCAGAACTTTCAGCCTCAAACCCAGACCTCAGGGAGGGAAAAGGGACTGGACATTGAGTTCAGTCACATGGCTAATGATTTAATCAGATGTGCATATGTAATAAAATCGCACATTAAAAACCCTGAATCACTGAGGCTCAAGGACCTTCTGGGTTGGTGAACACATCGATGAGCTGGTAGGGTGGCCTATCCGGAGAGGGCATGGACCCTCTGCACGCCCCTCTCCCAAGACCTTAGTCTATGTACCTCTTCCATTTGGCTGTTCCTGGGTTGTTATCTTCTCTAATGAAACTCTAATTGTAAGTATAGCACTTTCCTGAGGGCTGTGAATTGTTTCAGCAAATTATTGAATCGGGAGGGGGTGGTCATGGAAATGCCGGAATTTGTAGTCGGCCAGGCAGAAGTGGGGGTGGCTGGTGACCCCACTTGCTGCTGACATCTGAAGTGGGAGACAGTCTTGTGGGACTGATCCCTTAACCTATGAGGTCTGTGCCAACTTGTCAGAATTTAACTGAAGTGTAGGACACCCACTTGGTGTCAGAGAATTGCTGTTTGGAACATACTTGGTGTTATGACAGGACACTTTCCTTTTTTTTTTTTTTTTAATTTTTAAAATTATTTATTTTGGGGCCAGGCGGCATATGGGATCTTAGTTCCTGGACCAGGGATCAAACCTGCACCCCCTGCATTGGAAGTGCAGAGTCTTAACCACTGGACCCACCAGGGAAGTCCCAGGACACTTCTTCCTTTCCCAACTATGACTTTGTAACACTGTCACTGCTCCAAAGTCAAGATTGTGAAACAAAATAACAACTCAGAGGCTCAGGGTTGGAGCCCCTTTGCCATACTACACATAGCCTGATGATAAGAAAGTCCTCAATGGGGTAAGCCCATAGATTTCTTGCATAGAACCACCCTGACCAAAGGTTTCATGTCTCATGAACCAACCCAGAATCTGCCCATAACTCAAATCTGTGACTCTACAGAGGTTCCAGATCTTAGACTGAGTAACCTCAGCCAACCCGAGATGCATAAATGACTTTGCCTTTCATTCAGATAGGGGAGAGCGGGGAATGGTGAAATAAACACAACCCCTGTAATGTTAACACACACTTTGAATTAGAAATTAATCTCTCCTCTACTAGGTTGTAAACTCCAGATCAGTATCTGCTTTCCCTACCATTGTGTCC